TATATTACGCTTTTCTCCTTATCGATACCGCTCTTCTAGAGCTATAATATCAACTTTTATCATGAAGGGGGAGATCAATGTGTGATGGGTTTCCTTAGCTCAATTGTACATTTAATTCTTTGTCCCTAATTTTGAGTATCTATACCTGGCTTCCCACAAATGAGCATGTTGTTGGAGTTCATTATATGAGCCATGTGCCTTCAGTTGTTGACTTAGAATCAGTTATGAGTGTTAGAGTTCATAGCTCTGCGCGCATAGGTTAGCTTTAGTCGCCATGTGGATTGAAACATTGCAGTTTGCAGTGTAGAAAGCCCAGTTGTTAATTCTTACGGCTAATCTCAACAATTTATTTATTCGTTCTTAGAAACTAGGGATCAAACGTGGCAGCAACAAGAGCAGATGTCAGCGCTGCCAGTAAGACTCCCTGTTTAGATTCCATCAGATGTATATAAGGGTGATAACTTGTTACTACAAAGCTAGTGTGAGATTTTTTCTTGAGGAGTTGCTCTAACAGAGAGATGTTAGTGGAAAGTGGATTACTAGCAATGAGCTTTACTTGCAAAGGTGACTGTGGTAGGTAATGTGACTATTAAAGAACAAATCTTCCATGGTGGGCGTGAAATGCCTCTATGTTGCTACAGTGATACAGTTCATGCAGGTTATAATAAACTTAATGCAATGGGACGTTTTTTTACTCAACTCCATTTAGAATCTGTCGTGTAATTTACCTCTGACACTTGGTAAGATTCACTGTTATGACGTGTCTGGTTCGTTTCTCCTCTTCTAATACGAGTACTGTGTTAATTTCAACAGTCTATCACTGGATGACTAGAAATACCAAGCACCTTCCTCATTGTTTAAGAACTTATGTAGATCTGGGGACGCAGCCAAGGAATAATCCTGAGAGCTTCTTTTTGGCATTTACTGCCAAGGGTCGGGAGAGCTTTCTTAGATAAATTATCACTATGGCGCCAACAATCCTGCACGGCAGCTGCATAATCAATTAAGGGAGCACGAACATAGGCTATGTACATAAATTACGCACGATTCTACATTTGCTACACCATAGTTGGGATTTGTAGCCTGCAACACAGCTCTTGAGAGCACTTTAAGCTCTGCTTTAAATTTACGTGTGTATGTTGTGGTATAGTGGATTGTTTAAAGGGTACATGCTACTCAAGTGAGATCTGTAGAAGTTGTTACGTTAGCTATTGATTTCACGCTGACAATAAAATAGATGGGCTGGGTGGATAGTACGTTTGCTGTTAATCATCCTTAGTTTAGAGGAAGATATTATGATGGCCTTGTCGATTACATATTGCTCTTGAACTTCATTAGAATGGTATTACATCTTCAGATGACCTGTTGTTGGATCATGATATCATCAGCATAGATCCTTTAACCTAATATGTGTGTAGGTGAGGGAGGGCGGTTAGGAGCATTTAGGAGAGAATTAATCAGAATATTAAAATAGCATGAGGACTTAAAAGAAAATCCCTGCGGTTTTGCTGGACCTAAAAGGACTATTTCTTTTTGCCATCACTTCTGAAGCCTCTCGTGGTAAAGGACAGAGGATACTCAATATGACAGGTTCCTATTTATCCAGCAGAAGTAAGCTACACCCCAGTTATTCATTTTGGCTAGTTACATGTAGTATAACGGTTTGTATTCCAATACCAAAATGCAAGATTATAGATGAGATAAAGTGGGTAAAAACTAGTAGAGGTGTGTGCAGTGAGAAAGGTGAAATACAGTTTGCAACTTTTACCTTTCTAAACCCCCATAGGGGGAGGGGGAAAGTTGATCTTGATTCTGTAGTACAGTCTTTTTTAAGCATCATCTTTAAAAATTTTTAAAAAGAAACTAGTTAAGGAGATGGGCCTAAAGTACGGCGTTGGGGCTTGGGGGATAGGCAAATGAGATATTGGCCGGGAAGTAGGAAGAACGCCCTCAAGAAACTGGATTATACAGTGCCAAAAAAGGGTTTACAGCACGTCCCTTAGAGTTTTGAGAATATCTTGGAAACCCATCCTCTCCAGGACAGTTGCTCGAATTTTTGGAAATGCTTATCTAATTCATACCGGTAAAGAGGCAATTTCACTCTCATCAATTTTTTGGGCTCATAAAATTAATCGTTTTCAAACTTTCTTCGAAGTATCTCTAAATTTTTTTTCTAATATGAAGGGAAAGGCTTTCATCCTGGATGTTTTGGACCAGTCTTTTTAAAGGTCTTTTTGTTTTTCAAGGGGAAAAGGGGGATGACAAAATTGCCGTCTTTTCCGGGTTATTTTATTTATCCTTTCCAAGCCAAACTAAAGGGGTGGCCCTTTTTAACCACTAACAAACTTTTCCCCATTCCGTTGCCTAATTTTTCCTTTCTTTTCCCTTGCATTTGTTGTGCAGTTGGAACGTTCTGAGCAGGTCTGGGGTTACATTTACGGGGATGCTTACCAATCCTCCAGTGCATATGTTTTGTTGCCACTGGGATCATATTTTATTTTCAAGGGTTTTTTTTGTTATTTTAGTGGAGGGTTTTTTGTTTCCTATTCCTGCCCCCTTGATCTGTGAGAACACTCAAAAATGTAATTTAAAACATCATTAAATTTTTGTGTGCCAATGGGCTCGTAATTCTTAACCCTTGACCAAGTGGTTAATAAAGTTGTCTCGTGTTCTGGTTTGAGAAAAAGTTTTCCTCCTTTTGATTTGCTCCTTGATTTTGGAGATGTGATCAAGATGACGTTGTTAGTCTTGGGGAAATGATCAGATAGAAATCATAACTATGACAGAGTCATGCACGTATAGAGTAAAAAAAATCCAAGACCAGATTAGTAGCCCCATATATTGAGTAGGCCAGTAGTGCCCACAATTCGAACATTATATGCCTTTGCAACTCACTAGTTTAGTTTTCCTTGGTGTTTGTTAAGACCCACCCAAATTCTATGTCTGGCATTAACCCTTTCCCGGGCCCCAAAGGGCCCCAAATGGAGTCACCACCCTGCCCCAAAAAAAAAAAAAAATTTGTTATTTTTCTTATGAAATGTAGAGAATCTTTTGTGAAGGTAATAAAACAAAAATACGAAATTTGGTGGAAAATTGACGAAATTATGCTCATCGCGAATTTTGATGTTCAGCGATATTTACGAAACGGCGATTTGCCGAATTTGACGCCCATTTTAGGCCAATTCATTATTCCAATCAACCAAATTCTAAGCTATTTTCACTAGTATACTTCTATTCTATCGATGAAGCACGAAGAAATCGCCAAGTCAACTGTTCCACTACAAAATAAAGTGATTCGGAAATAGTTAATTTGGCCAATTTAACACAAAGTTCAAAAAAATTCCAATTTCAAAAATAGTGTCCAGAATGACAAGGTAGTCATTCCTTGGCAACAAACTAAACATTTTTCCTCTGTTCATCTTAGTTTATATTTTGAGGCTTTACAAATAAATTCCATTTGATTTTTTATTCACATAATGAATTTTTATTCACACCAAAAATAGAAGATTTACTGTTATGCAATACTGTAATCATGTATAAAAATCATCACCATATTATGTGAATAGTATATTAGACCCCCAGTTGTGCGTGTATTAGACGTGTGAACTCGTTTGTTTACTCTTGAATATCGGCAAAAATTTAAACATTTCTTGCAACTTTGAGGCTCAGTTTCAAGCCATTTCAGTGCTAAAACCAATCAAAATCATCTCTATTTCTGTAATAAGTCTTCCATTCTATAAAAAAACCCCAAGAAATCGTAAATACAACTATAAAAAACATTCGAAAAAACACTGCAAAGTTGCTGTTTTAATCGAAAAATCATGATTTCATTTTTTTCTCTCATTATACACAGTGTGCTGCAGGATCTGTTTTATGTGGTGCACACATACCACATAGATGTATTCTCTCATATCTAGGCCCAAATGTACCACTCACAGTTTATCAGAGTGAGCTGAGCTCATGGCGTAGATCTACGGTTTGGACCCTGAACGTAAAGCCGTAGATCTACGGGACGGACCCTGAAAGGGTTAAAATCTCCAAGAATGATGGTAGGTTCACTATTGATGCGATCTGGTAAAGCATCAGGTCGAAGCTGGTTCGCTGGGGCATAGAGATTAAAAATGTTTATGGAAAAATCGCCTGCATATACTTTGACACCATGATACTGCATGTTAACTCGACTCTGCAAGGAAAGGAGTGAATGTGGCAAGCTCTTTCTGACATACATCACACAACAGTTGGTTGACCTTAGGTTATAAGCTGCATATCCAGGCAAGTTTGGTGGAGGTGCACCATCTTTCAATCTACATTCCTGCAAACAGATGACATCAATATTCTTGGTTGCACTAATATGATGTATGTCAGGCAACCGCTTCCTGATGGAAGCAATGTTCCATGAAAAGATTTGTAATGTATCCATTGTAGTGAGTTATTACAATCTCTTGCTCATAAGATGGTAAAACTATTATGCTTTGACTACAGTGTGCAGATACTTAAGAGCAAATAGCATAGTTTGTATGTCTTTATCTTCAGGACCTTTATTTTTAAGCATTTTTCGGCATTTTGGCAGCCAGTGATAAGGCAATTTTTGAAGGCAAGAGTTATGGGCTTCTTTCTCACAAATTGCTGGAAGCTGAACGGAGATTGCTGCACTTTTGACATCATAACCATGCTCAAGAGCATCATCCTGATTACATATATTTATTAAACTTGTCAGGATCTGTTCAAGATGCTACTGTGGGACAGAGGGGAGAGAACACAATGCGTCACATAATTTACGCTACGTGTACTCCACCATGTCAAATGATTTTTTTGTGTCATGTTCAGGAAAAATATGCTGCAGTTTTGTAACCATGTTGTAAGAAAAGCATTTTAACAGATGACATGTTATCTGACTGTCTACTGTATTTATATTATTACTCATTAGCAAAACATGTTTGGTAATACTTTAAATGTGTAACATGTACGAATGTGATAAAACAAAAATTGTGGCGTCTGCTAACCTGGCATCACTGTTTCAGGCTGTGTGTCAGACACTCCAGAAAGGGAAGCCAAGTCTGCATTAATGGAGAACAACAAAAATACAACATCACCGGGTAATAACCTCACCGGAGCCACACCATCCACCTCCAGACCACCAACAATGCCGGAAAATTGCTCGGTATTTACAAGGTTTTGTGTGATATGATTAATTCAATACAAATACAAATACTTTTTTTTTTTTTATTCGCCGGTACTCTCCCGGCCCGGGTCTTTTCCAAGTAGTGGTGACCCGGCCTTGGCTCCCTATCTGGGAGTATCTCGAGACCTATGTCTCCCATGGGAGGAGGTACAAGTACCCCCTCATCTTTGGGACCAACTGTCCCCAGGCTTAGCCACAGTCCCCTCCCTCACGGGGCTCGTAGGGAGAAGCTAGGCCTCTGGTCTGCCATCTGCCCCGCCCCAAAGGGGCTCGTGGGGATGTCAGTCTTGTGAGCTGCAGGTGATAGCAAGCTCAGGCCATTTTTTTATTTTAAAAAAGAGCACATTTTTCTAAGTGTTATAGGATAAAAAAAAATTAGGGTCAGTACTTACCGAGATATGAGGCTGCAAAGTTGGCACTTGGCGATCACCTGGCGGCAACATAGAGCGCTGCCGCTTGCAGAAGTGTTGCGGATATATCTTTTTTTCTATTTTTCGTATTCTTTCTTTCAACACAGGGCCCGGGTTTTTCCACCAGGGCGGGGGTGGCCCCAAAGAAAAAAAAAAAATTTTCCTTTTACATTTTTTAAATAACAGGGGGGAAGGGGTTACTAGCCCCTTGTTTCTGGCATTTTAGTCGCCTCTTAAAAACACGCATGGCTTACGGAGGAAGAATTCAGTTCCACTTCCCCATGGAGGTAAGAAGAAATAAACAAGAACAAAAAACTAGAAAGAAAATAGAAGAAAACCCAGAGGGGTTTGTGTTTTTTTATATATGCTTGTACAGGGAGGGGTTTAGTGTGCCCTTAAGTGTAAGTAGAATTTTAGCAAGACTACTAAAAATTCTTGAATGTGTATGAGACAAAAAAAGACAAAAGAAATTTCCTACCATCATTTTTAAAAAATTTTTACAGGTTTTTCCTTTTTTACCTACTTGGCGGACGGTATTTCCCCCCTGGGCGGTTGCTGTCTCCCCAACCTTTATCCCTTTTGGATTTTTAATTTTAAATTTTTATAATTTTTATGTTCTGTAATTACAATTTATAGTAGTTCTTGCATTTCAAAAACCAGTTTTTTTTCTGATATTTAATATTAATACTGAAATTTTATCAAAATTTGTCAAAAACCCTTGAAGGGGGTTTTAGGTAATACAAAATTGGGAACCCGTTGGGGTATCTTTATATCGAAAGTTTCACCTACACAGTAGGCTTCTTTAAAGTCGGGGTACAGAAAGTAGGGGGAGTAGTGGAGATGGAAGTCAAAATGAAATTCGGGGCCATCACCCTTGAAGTTGTGATTTGAGGTTTTTCCCCCCTCACCCTGGAGAATTCTTTTCCCAAAAGGGTTGGGAACTTTAACTGAAGACAATGACGTGTTGAGACTTAAATTGGGGGAAAGGGGAAAAAAGGTTTTGGCGAGTAGTAGTAGTGAGAATGTGGGCCATGAGGGGAAAGGCCCCTTGAAGATAAAAACAGTTCTCACTAAAAAAAGTTGAAAAAGGGTGTTTTCCCCTTCTGTACCCAAGATCCCTTGTGTTGCAGGTTTTTGACAGATTTGATTTAATAAAAAAACTTTGGACAGGGGGAAATTTTAAAACCCCCCTTGGCCTTTTACTATTGTTTTGGCATATATAAAAAAGATTTGTAGGCCCCCGGCAATTTTTTGGAAATATGTGGAAGTATAAAAAGGGGGGAGGGGAGGAGGGGGAAATTTGGAGGAGGGGATTAGGAGGAGGAGGAGGGGGGAGGATTAGGGGAGGGGATTAGGGGAGGAGGGGAGGAGGATTGGGAGGAGGAGGGGGGAGGGTTTAGGAGGACGGGGGAGGAGGGGGGGGATTGGAGGAGGAGGAGAAGGAGGATTAGGGGAGGAGGAGGAGGATTAGGGGAGGAGGAGGGGGAAAGGAGGGTTTAGGAGGAAGAGGGAAGGAGGGGGGAGATTAGGAGGAGGAGGGGGAGGAGGATTAGGAGGAGGAGGAGGATTGGGAAAGGAAAGGAGGAGGAGGGGATTAGGAGGGGAGGGTTTAGGAGGAGGGGGGAGGTTTAGGGGGGGGTTTTGGGGAGGAGGAGGGGGGGTTTTAGGGGAGGGAGGGGGGAAAGGAGGTTTTAGGAGGAGGAGGGGGAGGAGAATTAGGAGGAGGGGGGAGGAGGGGGTTTTAGGGAGGAGGGGGAAGGAGGATTGGGAAAGGGGGGAGGAGGAGGGGGGAGGAGGGGAGGGGGAAATTAGGAGGAGGGGAAGGAGGAGGATTAGGAGGAGGAGGAGGATTGGAGGGGGAAAGGAAAATTGGGGGGGGATTTAGGAGGAGGAGGGGGGATTTTTTGGATTAGGAGGATTAGGATTAGAAGGAGGAGGAGGATTAGGGGGGGAAAGGGGGAAAGGATTAGGGGAGGAGGATTAGGAGGAGGATTAGGGGGGAGGAGGAGGAGGTTAGGAGGGGAAGGAGGGGGGATATTAGGGGGGAGGGGGGGAGGATTAGGAGGAGGGGGAGGGGGAAAGGGAGGAGGGGATTAAAAGGGGGGGGAGGATTAGGAGGAGGAGGGGGGAGGTTTAGGAGGAGGAGGAGGAGGAGGATTAGGAGGGGAGGAGGGGGGGAATGTTTTGGAGGAGGAGGAGGGGATTTTAGGGGAGGAGGAGGGGGATTGGAAAGGAGGAGGGGGATTAGGGGAGGGGAGGGGGGATTAGGGGGAAAAGGGAGGAGGATTAGGAGGGGGGGGGGGATTAGGAGGGGATGATTGGAGGAGGGGGAGGAGGAGGGGAGGAGGAAGTAGGGGATTAGGAGGGGAGGGGTTTTGGAGGGGGAGGGGAGGTTTTGGAGGGGAGGAGGAGGAGGTTTTGGGGGGAGGAGGAGGGGGGAAGGTTTGGAGGAGGGTTGGGAGGGGGGGAGGTTTAGGAGGAGGAGGGGGGTTTTAGGAGGAGGAGGAGGAGGATTAGGAGGGGAGGTTGGGAGGGGGAAAGGTTTAGGAGGAGGAGGGGAGGGGGTTTGGAGGGGGGGAAATTAGGAGGGGGGTTAGGAGGGGGGGGAGGAGGATTAGGAGGACGAGGAGGGGGGGAGGGAGGATTAGGAGGAGGGGGAAAGAAGGAGGATTAGGAGGGGAGGAGGAGGATTAGGAGGAGGAGGAGGGGGGATTAGGGGGAAAGGGAGGAGGAGGAGGAGGGGGAAATTGGAGGAGGAGGAGGGGGGGGAATTGGGAGGAGGAGGAGGTTGGGAGGAGGAGGGGGGAGGAAGGTTTAGGAGGGGGAGGTTTAGGGGGAAAGGAGGAGGGGAAATTAGGAGGGGGGAGGTTTTGGGGGGAGGGGGGAATTAGGAGGGGGGTTTTTAGGAGGGAGGGGGGGAGGGGGAAATTGGGGAGGAGGAGGGGGAAAGGAGGAAAATTTAAGGGGAGGAGGAGGAGGACGAAAAGGAGGTGGGGGGAGGGGATTAGGAGGAGGAGGAGGGGGGATTGGGGAGGGAGGAGGAGGAGGAGGATTAGGAGGAGGGGGGAGGAGGAGGATTAGGAGGGGGGGGGAGGTTTTGGGAAGGGGAGGAGCTTTTGGAGGATTAGGAGGAGGAGGGGGAGGATTAGGATTAGGGGTTAGGATTAGAAGGGGGGAGGGGTTTTAGGAGGAGGAGGATTAGGAGGGGAGGATTGGGGGGAGGATTAGGAGGAGGATTGGGGGAGGAGGGGAGGAGGTTTAGGGGAGGGGGGACTTTGGAGGGGAGGGGGTTAGGAGGAGGAGGAGGGGAGGTTAGGAGGAGGGGAGGGGGAAATTAGGAGGGGAGGAGGATTAGGAGGAGGGGAGGGGGAGGATTAGGGGGGAGGAGGAGGAGGTTTAAAATAAGGAGGAGGGGGGGTTTTAGGAGGAGGAGGGGGGAGGGGGGAGGATTAGGAGGAGGAGGAGGTTTAGGGGAGGATTAGGGGGAAAGGAGGGGGATTAGGGGGGAGGGGGAAAGGATTAGGAGGAGGATGTTTAAAGGAGGAGGGGAGGAGGTTTAAAGGAGGGGGAGGGTAGGAGGTTAGGGGAGGAGGAGGATTGGGGAGGGGGAAGGAGGGAAAATTAGGGGGGAGGAGGAGGATTAGGGGAGGGGGGGAAATTAGGAGGAGGGGGAAATTAGGAGGGGAGGATTAGGAGGAGGAGGGGGGGGATTAGGAGGAGGAGGGGGGGATTAGGGGGGGAGGATTAGGAGGAGGGGAGGAGGATTTTAGGAGGGGAGGATTAGGAGGGGAGGAGGGGTTTAGGGGGGAGGGGATTAGGGGAGGAGGATTTTGGAGGAGGATTGGGAGGGGGGGGACAGGTAGATTAGAAGGGGAGGAGGAGGAGGTTTGGGGAGGAGGGGGAGGAGGAGGAGGATTGAGGAGGAGGAGGAGGAGGGATTTAGGAGGAGGAGGGGGGATTAGGATGAGGAGGGGGGAAAGGTTTGGGGAGGGGGAGGGGGAGGATTAGGGAGGGGAGGAGGAGGAAGGAGGGGATTAGGAGGGGAGGGGGGAAGGAGGATTAGGGGGGGGAAAGGGGGGGTTTTTGGGAAAAGGGGGATTGGGAGGGGGAGGAAAAACAGGAAGAGGGGAAGAGGGGGAAAAGGGAAGAAGGGGAAGAAAAAAGAAGAGGAAAAGGGAAGAGGAAGAAGGGGAAGGGAAGAAGAAAAAGAGGATGAAGAAGAAGGGGGGAAGAAAAAGGGAATGGGGGGGAGGAAGAGGAGGAAAAGGGAAGAAGAGGAGGAGGAAAAGAAGAAAAGAAAAAAAGAATATAATAAAAGCCCCCTTGAGCTTGAAAAACAAAGTCCACCATGAAAAGTGATGTAAATAAGTTTAAGAAACATTTGAAAAGGGAGTGATGTTTGATGAGCTTTTAAAGGGTTTTGCAGTAAAGATTTGTTAAGAAAAGATTAGGGCTTGCTTTGTTTTCGCTCGGTACCAAATGCCCTGTCTTTTTGGGCCCTGTCTGCCCAAGCCCCCTGTCTTTTGGGTCTACGTCTAGCTAAATGTTTTAGAGAGGGGCCAAAAGATT